AGACAGGGGTGGAGGAGGACAAGGCGGACAGTGGTCCAGGATCTAAGGATGCAGCCTCCGAGCAGATGGGCCGTGGGGGGTTGGCTGAGTCATGGCCATCATCACCCACACATGATGATGAAAAAGGCAGAAATGCGGAACTGATTGGCTTAGCCGACCACGACATTCCCAGGAGGGTCCAAAGGGGGAAGTACATGGATGACCTCAGAGCAGCCATGAATCCCAGATATTGGAAGATGGGGATTCCGTGGGAAATGTTGAGATTACACGGTGGGAAAAAAGTAGACCCTAAAGTTTGCTTTGGGGCAGGGGTCTCCAACCTTGGCAACTTTTAAGACTTGTGGACTTCAACTCCCAGAATTCCTTAATTAAAGTTGAGTCTTAAAGTTGCCAAAGTTGCAGACTTCTGATTTGGGGTATCAATCAATCAATCAGACTAGAGCTGGAAGGGAACTTAGAGGTCTTCTAGTCCAGTCCCCTGCTCAAGCAGGAGATCCTATACCCGTGATGGCGAACCTATGGCACACGTGCCACAGGTGGCATGCGGGGCCATATCAGTGGGCACGCAAGTGTTGCCCTAGCTCAGCACCAACCAGCTGATTTTCAGGCCTTCCAGGCCCACTGGAAATCGGGAAACAGGCTATTTCCGGCCTCCAGGGGGGTGGAGAAGGCCATTTTCGCCCTCCCCAGGCTCCTAGAAAGGCTCTGGAGCCTGGGGAGGGCGAAAAACGGGCCTTCCAGTCCCACCGGAAGTCGGCAAATGGGCTGTTTCCAGCCTCTGGAGGGATGGGGAACGCTGTTTTTGCCCTCCCCAGGCTCCAAGAAAGCGTCTGGAGCCTGGGGAGGGCGAAAAACAGGCCTACTGGGCCCACCATGCCAAAAGTGGGGGGAGCGCAGGAGTGTCATGCCGCATGCGTGGGGGGGCGGGGTGCACTGAATTATGGGTGTGGGCGCGACCCCCCTGCGCTCCCCCCACTTTTGGCACACGACGGCAAAAAGGTTAGCCATCACTGTCCTATACCATTTCAGACAAGTGGCTGTCCAGTCTGTTCTTAAAGATGAAGCACCCACAACTTCTGGAGGAAAGCTGGTTCCACTGCTTAGTTGTCCTCGCTGTTAGGAAGTTTCTCCTTAATTCCAAGTTGCTTCTCTCCTTGATTAGTTTCCATCCATTGTTTCTTCTCTTGCCTACAGGTGCTTTGGAAAATAAACTGACCCCCTCTTCTTTGTGGCAGCCCCACTAATACTGGAAGGCTGGTGTCACGTCTCCCCCCCTAAATCCTTCTTTTCTCTAGACTAGCCAAACCCAAATCCTGCAACCGTTCTTCATATGTTTTAGCCTCCAGGCCTTCAATCATCTTAGTTGCTCTTCTCTGAACTTTTCCCAAAGTCCCAACATCTTTACGAAGGTTTGCTAGAGGAGCTGTGCCCACTTACCAAATTCCATTCATCAAAAGAAGAAGCCTGCCATTTCATTTCATTTCATTTCATTTCATTTCATTTCATTTCATTTCATTTCATTTATTTATTTATTTATTTATTTATTTATTTATTTATTTATTTATTTATTTATTTATTTATTTGTTTATTTATTAAACTTGTATACCGCCCTTCTCCTTTCGGACTCCGGGCGGTGAACAGCCAAAATAAAAACATTTGTACACAAAAGTTAAAATAATTATTAAAACTAATTAAATGAAATTTGGCCCATAATTTAAAACATCTCAATTAAAATCAATATCAAACGTTAAAACCAACATGGAATCAGGCCAGCCTGGCTAGCTGAAAAAAGTAAGTTTTTAGGGCCCAACGAAAAGTCCGGAGGTCTGAGATCACTCGTATCTCTGGAGGTAGATCGTTCCAGAGGGTAGGTGCCACCACAGAGAAGGCTCTCCCCCTGGGGGTCGCCAGCCGACATTGTCTGGCTGACGGCACCCTGAGGAGGCCCTCTCTGTGGGAGCGAACCGGCCGGTGGGAGGCAATTGGTGGCAGAAGGCGGTCCCATAAGTACCCTGGCCGTAAGCCATGGAGCGCTTTAAAGGTGGTCACCAACACCTTGAAGCGCACCCAGAAGTCCACCGGAAGCCAATGCAGCTCGCGCAGGAGAGGTGTCACGTGGGAGTGCCCCGTCACTCCCATAATCCCCCACGCAGCTGCATTCTGCACCAGTTGGAGCCTCCAGGTGCACCCCAAAGGGAGCCCTATGTAGAGAGCGTTACAATAGTCCACACGAGAAGTGACGAGTGCTTGAGTGACCGTGCGTAAGGAGTCCCGATCTAGAAAGGGGCGCAACTGGCGTATCAGGCGAACCTGATAGAACCTGATTTTCTTCTAAGAGTTTCTATTTTCTTGGAAGATTTTATATTTTCATGGACAATTTTATATTTTTTGTGGGGGGGGGAAGATACTATAGGTCAGTGATGGCTAACTTTTTTGCCGTGGCGTGCCAAAAGCAAAGGGAGTGCGGGGGGGGCGTGCATGCCCACAACCATAATTCAATGAGCCCCACCACACACACCTCGGGCACGCACGCGCGACCTCCCCACACTCCTCCCACTTTTGGCATGTGATGGCCCAGTGGGCCCGGTAGGCCTGTTTTTTTGCCCTCCCCAGGCTCCAGAAGCTTTCTAGGAGCCTGCAGAGGGCAAAAACGGCCTCCCCCCCCCTCCCGGAGGCCCTTCAGAGGCCGGAAACAGCCCATTTCCTGACTTCCGGTGTGCCCAGAAGGCCCGAAAATCAGCTGGCGAAGAGCTCTGATTTCATGAAAATCAGCGCACTGGAGCCGAGCTAGGGCAACGCTTGCGTGCCCATAGATATGACTCCATGTGCCACCTGTGGCATGCGTCCCATAGGTTCGCCATCACGGCTATAGGTAGTTCCCAACTTACAGCCACAAGAGAGCTCAATTTTTTTTGTGCCTATGGAGACAGTTGTGAGCGAGTCCACTTTCCTGATTTATTTCTATTCCAATGGAGGTAGTCCTCAACTTACAACTACAATTAAGACTGGGATTTTTATTGCTAACCACGGAGGTTGTTAAGTGCCCAATTTTAGGACCTTTCTCGCCATGATTGTTGAGCGAGTCGCTGCAGTTGTTAAATGAATCATGCTGTGGTTCAGCAAATCCCAGCTTTCTCCCATTGATTTTACTTGTGAGAAAGTACTTGTACTTGTGGCTGGGAAGGTCACAAATGCTGATCATGTGACCCTGGGACACTGCAGCTACAGGTGGTCCTCGACTTATGGCCACAATTGAGTCCAACATTTATGTTGCTAAGTGAGGAATGTGTTAAGTGAGTTTTGCCCCATTTTACGACTTCTGTTGCCACAGTTGTTAAGGGAATCGCTGCGGTTGTTAAATTAGTAACACGGTTTGTTAAATGAATCTGGCTCCCCCGTGGGCTTTGCTCATCAGAAGGTCGCAAACGGGGATCACGTGATTCCAGGAGGCTGTGACCGTCATAAATATGAGTCAGTTTGCCAAGCGCCTGAATTTTGATCACATGACCAAGGGGAGGCGGCAACGGTCGTAAGTCTGAAAAATGGTCCAGGCGTCACATGTCTATGGAGACATGTCTATGGAGATTCTCCATCATCCAGGTCATGGGTGGCCCAAAGGTGCTTTTTCAGGAGGCAACTGGGCTTTCTGTTTTTTCTTTGAAGACATTTTGCTTCTCATCCAAGAAGCTTCTTCAGCTCTGACTGGACAAACCTCCAAGTGGCCTCAACGACTCTCTAAAAGAACACAAATGGCCAGCTGTCTGCAAGGAGTATAAATCCTTCCATTCCCCACCATCCAGTGAATAGAATAGAATAGAATAGAATAGAATAGAATAGAATAGAATAGAATAGAATAGAATAGAATAGAATAGAATAGAAAATAATAGAAAATAATAGAAAACAGAAAATAAAATAGAATAGAAAATAGAAAATAAAATAGAATAGAAAATAGAATAGGATATGGAAATAGAGAATAGGAATAAGAATAGAATAGAATAGAATAGAATAGAATAGAATAGAATAGAATAGGAAAATAATAGAAAACAGAAAATAAAATAGAATAGAAAATAGAAAATAAAATAGAATAGAAAATAGAATAGGATATGGAAATAGAGAATAGGAATAAGAATAGAATAGAATAGAATAGAATAGAATAGAATAGAATAGAATAGAATAGAATAGAATAGAATAGAATAGAATAGAAAATAATAGAAAACAGAAAATAAAATAGAATAGAAAATAGAAAATAAAATAGAATAGAAAATAGAATAGGATATGGAAATAGAGAATAGGAATAAGAATAGAATAGAATAGAATAGAATAGAATAGAATAGAATAGAATAGAATAGAATAGAATAGAATAGAAAATAATAGAAAACAGAAAATAAAATAGAATAGAAAATAGAAAATAAAATAGAATAGAAAATAGAATAGGATATGGAAATAGAGAATAGGAATAAGAATAGAATAGAATAGAATAAATAGAATAGAATAGAATAGAATAGAATAGAATAGAATAGAATAGAAAATAGAATAGAAAATAGAATAGAAAATAGAATAGACTAGAAAATAGAAAATAGGATAGGATATGGAAATAGAGAATAGGAATAAGAATAGAATAGAAAATAATAGAATAGAAAATAAAATAGAATAGAAAATATAAAATAAAATAGAATAGAAAATATAAAATAGAATAGAATAGAGTAGAATATAGAAAATAGGATAGGATAGGATAGAACAGGACAGGACCTTGGAGATCTTCTAGTCCAGAACATGAAGCTGAAGAAGCTTCTTGGATGAGAAGCGAAACGTCTTCAAAAAAAAAATCAAAACCCCAGAAAGTCCAGTTGCCTCCTGAAAAAGCACCTTTGGGACAGGAAACTGGACCAGGTACATTGGGGAGTTGTGCCTGGGTGCCCAGGGGCGCCAGATTGAGGAAGCACGCCACTCAGGCCAAGTCCCCCTTCCTTCGCCTAACCCTGCCTTGCTCTCCCTTGCAGTGGTCTGTCCCAGGAAGCTGGCAGCGTCGAACAGATCTCCTTGCACTGCGCTGAAGGATCCCTGGAATGGCTGTATCCAGCCGGAGCTTTGCGCCTAAGCCTGTCTCCTCGCCTGCCCACGGGCCCCGCCGGCAAAGAGAAACCGCAGCATGTCACCGCTTGCATCAAGTCCTCCAGCAGTTTCCGGGGAGCCCAGATTTACTTGGAACGGGACGGAGTCTTGGAACTGCTCCTCTCGGAGATGGAGGCGGCCTTGCAGCCCAAGGTGCGCTGCTTCAGGTGGCTGTCCGGAGAGAAAGTGGCCCTCTTCCTCCAGTCCACTCTTCACCAAGACATCAGCCGTCGAATTGCAGCTTTCCGTTACGAGTTGCGGGGCGAGTGGAATGCCCATTTCTCCTGGCCTTGGAGGAACCTCAGCGTGGAAGGTGCGTTTGGGTTTGGCCTTGTGGGGGACGAACCGGATAGGAATCACAACCAGATGGGTTCATTCTACTTTATGGTAAAGCTACAACGACGGAATCTTGCTGTTGTGACCCAGGCCCAAGTAGGTATTATCAGACGCAATCAGTTCTAAACAAACAGATTTTATTAGAACAGCTGAGAATTAACTCATTCTCAGCGTAGTCCAAACTAATTCAAAACAAATTCTTCATAACACAATTCTTCAGCCTTATCACCAACCTTGGTCTACTTTGGCAACCTGCCAAACGCTTTTCTTGGCAAAAGTTCAGAAACAGAAGACACTGACAAGAAATAAATGCAGCAAGACAAGAACAAATCTATCAATGTTGTTTTCCGACAAAGAGCCCAAGAGCCGTTGCTGGTCTTTTAAGCCTTATGGGAGGGGCCAGTCATCTCTTGGCCTTACTCCCGAGTCGTCCTCTTTGCTTGAGCTGCTCTTGCCTTCTGGCAGCTCTTCTCATGCGTGCACTAGGAACAGGCTCCTCCTGTTCCTCTGCCTGTCTGTTGTCAGCCTCTGGAGGCTCCGGAGTCTGCACATCACTCCCTGATGGCCCTGGCCCCATCTCTGCCTCCAATGCAGAGCCCTCATCCGGGCCTTCCCCAGCCTCCAGGACTGGCCCGTGTTCTTCCTCAGCCTCCTCACTGTCCAACTCCGCTGCCAGCTCCGCAGGCTGCTGGCGGACCACAACACTCACAAGTCTGAAAGTACAATCCTTTAAAGGAGAATATTTGTAGCTCAGAATAGGTTGGGTGGTTTTTCTGGAAGATGTTTCATTTCCCAACTAGGTAACAATATCAGTGCTAGTTGATAGTGTTAATACCACTTTACAAGGCCTTGGTAAGGCCACACTTGGAATCCTGCATCCAGTTTTGGTCTCCGCGATATAAAAAAGATGAGACTCTAGAAAGAGTGCAGAACCATCCTTACATATTTGTTGAGGATTCGTAGAGCAACCCTAGAGTAACAATTGAGGGCCACCATTTACCAGTCTATGATAGGAACCATCCTTACATATTTGTTGAGGAATTCGCAAGCAACCCTACAGTAACAAGGGTGTGCAAATGAAAGCGACTGAGAGCAGTTGCGAATAATCACAGCCAATACACAGATACACTGAGTTGTGTTTAAGAAGTAGCAATAAGGCACAGTCCAATAAACAGTCCAGGTCATACACAGATAAAGCAGTAGATAGTAAAACAATAGTCCAGGGATATTCCAATAACAAAGTCTTCTTACCAGTCGTCATAGTCATACACAATAAAGAGTTGCAAACAGTAGCAAGAATCATGGGATTGTCTTCCCAGCCAGCTTCTAACAAGCAAAGCCATTGGGGGAAGTCGCGTTCGCTTAATGACTTCGGAGATGATGTGCTGGTCATAAGAACAAGGACAGTCATAAGTTACCTTTTGCAGCACCATTGTAACTTTGAACAATAGCTAAATGAAAGGTCGTAAGTCAATGTTGGAAATGCAATCAGATAACCAGGTTAGTACTATCATATGTGGTGGCAATGTCCAAAGGCAAAAAAAATATTCTGTACGAAAATACATACACGGTTAGTGAAAATGTTAAAGCGACATATAGATTTAAAGGCAGAAATATTTTTATTAGGTATATTGCCAGAACATTATGACAAAGGGAATATATATTTAATATTGCATGTTTTGACAGCAGCGAGAAATGTATTTGCACAATACTGGAAATATGAGGAAACGCCTACAGATGAAAATACAATAAAAAAAATACTAGATTGTGTGGAAATGGATAGGTTAACATTAAAGATAAAGGACAAAGAAGATAGAGAATACTTTTTAACTTGGGATTTGTTTTATCAATGGTTAGATAATAACGGTAGAAATTAGAAACTGGAAGAACTTATAAGTAAAGAATATTATTGTTACTAGAATTATGTATACGTAAAATGACCCAGGCAATGCACTATTTACTAACAGTTTACTAAATTCAGTAACAGAGTTGGAAGGGACCTAGTCCAACCCCCTCTCACACAGGAGACCTATACTAGGGATTCGAACCGCCGAACTGCCGACCGTTCTGATCAACAAGCTCAGCGTCTTAGCCACTGAGCCACCTAGCCAATCTTATATAAATACTTCTATAGGTTAAAGAAAAATGTGTAAATAAAAATATATTTTAAAAAAAGCAAGGTCGTAAGTCGAGGACTATCTGTATGTTGGTTATGGGCACCATTGCTGTTTAGTGACTGTTCATTCTCCCCCTTTCAAAGATGCAGGGACTTGCCGTCCGTGTAACAACACCGAAATCCTGATGGCCGTTTGCACAAGTGATTTTGGTGAGTATAATTTCTCCAGTGTTAATTGACTGCTTTCTTCGCCATCGATGGCGCTTCTCCGTCATCCAGGTCATGGTTGTCCCAAAGGTGCATTTTTCAAGAGGCAGCTGGACTTTCTTGGGTTTTCCTTGAAGACATTTCCCTTCTCATCCAAGAAACTTCCTTCAGTTCTGAATGAATGGTGGAGAAAGGAAGGATTTATGTTCCTTGCAGTCATCTGGTCGTTAGTACTCTCTGTCAGAATGCTAAGACAGTACTAATGACCAGATGACTGCAAGGAACATAAATCCTTCCCTCCTCCACCATTCAGTCAGAACCGAAGAAGCTTCTTGGATGAGAAGCGAAATGTCTTCAAGGAAAAACGAAGTCCAGTTGCCTCTTGAAAAAGCACCTTTGGGGTCTCTTCACTATCATAAACCGAGGAAAATGAAATGAGGGGAGACTAGCTTTCTTTAAAGCAAACTTATCCTGCTAATGATACTCTCCCAAGTTTTAAAGACCCTCTCACCCCTTCTAAATGTTGCCACAGAGTCACAATTTTTAATGAGCAATCATGGGGGAGGGAATTAAATAGAGAAGGATTTTCATTAATTTTAATGCAATGTATTTAAAAAAAACCAAAAAACTTTGGGTGGGAAGTCTGCAAAAAAGTTGGGGACTTTACCAAATCGCAAAGAGGAACGGTACTTCCGAATGATTTCCAAAGTGGGCACACGCCCTTCGCAAACATCACCCTACGTTTTTTCAATCCTTCTCGCCTTGGTCATCACCGCAGCCATGTAAGGCAAGGTTTTCATATTCCCATTTTACAGATAAGAACATGAAGGGGGGGGGGGGATGCAATGTGTGCACTGGTTTTCAAGGATCCAGCCAAGTGGTAAAGGCCAGCTGGCCAAAACGGTCCACAGACCAATGTGTGGCCTAGTTGATAGCAAACTTGGTCTCCAGGCTAGAAAGTGGGAGACTGTGAGTTCTAGTCCCACCTAAGGTGGGAAAGCCGCCTGGGTGATTTTGGGTCAGTCCCTCTCTCTCAGCCCAACCCACCTCACAGGATAAGTTCACTGCCTTGAGTTATTTGTAAAAAGGCGGAAGATAGGTAGGTAGACAGATATGATATGATATGATATGATATGATATGATATGATATGATATATAATAAGATATATAATAGAGTAGGTAGGTAGGTAGGTAGGTAGATAGATAGATAGATAGATAGATAGATAGATAGATAGATAGATAGATAGATAGATAGATAGATAGATAGATAGATAGATAGATAGATAGATAGATATAGATGATATAGATGATGGATAGGATATGATATATGATTATATGATTATATGATATAGATTACTAGATAGATAGATAGATAGATAGATAGATAGATAGATAGATAGATGATATAGATGATGGATAGATATGATATATGATTATATGATATAGATTATTAGATAGATAGATAGATAGATAGATAGATAGATAGATAGATAGATAGATAGATAGATAGATAAGATAGATAGATAGATGGATGATAGGTAGGTAAGTAGGTAGATAGATATAAGATAGATAGATAGATAGATAGATAGATAGATAGATAGATAGATAGATAGATAGATAGATATAGATGATATAGATGATGGATAGGATATGATATATGATTATATGATTATATGATATAGATTACTAGATAGATAGATAGATAGATAGATAGATAGATAGATAGATAGATAGATAGATAGATAGATGATATAGATGATGGATAGGATATGATATATGATTATATGATATAGATTATTAGATAGATAGATAGATAGATAGATAGATAGATAGATAGATAGATAGATAGATAGATACCCTGTTTCCCCGAAAATAAGACATCCCCTGACAATAAGCCCAATCAGGCTTTTGAGTGCATGTGCTAAAATAAGCCTCCCCCCGAAAATAATAAGCCCTCCCTGAAAATATTTAAATGCAGAGCTGGAAATCAGGTAAGACGGCAAGAGGAGCCCCATCTTGCTCCACGCGCCCAAAATAATAAGACCTCCCCGAAAATAAGGCCAAGCATTATTTCGGGGTTCAAAAAAATATAAGACAGGGTCTTATTTTCAGGGGAACAGGATGATAGATAGATAGATAGATAGATAGATAGATAGATAGATAGATGGATGGATGGATGGATGGATGGATGGATGGATGGATGGATGGATGGATGGATAGATGACAGAGACAGCTAGATGATAAGAGACAGATAGAGATTGATAGAGAGAAGAGATAGAGACATAGATTTATAGGTAGGTAGGTAGGTAGGTAGGTAGGTAGGTAGGTAGTAGATAGATAGATAGATAGATAGATAGTAGTAGATAGTAGATAGATAGATATAGATGATAGAGACAGATATAGATAGATAGATAGATAGATAGATAGATAGATAGATAGATAGATAGATAGATAGATAGATAGATAGATAGATGGATGGATGATGGGTATGATATATGATATAGATTAGGTAGGTAGGCAGGCAGGTAGGTAGTAGATATGATATATGATATATGATATATAGATGATGGATATGATATATGATATATATGATATAGGTTAGATGGATGGATGGATGGATAGATAGATAGATAATAGACAGACAGAAATAATGATAGAGAGCGATGATATAGATAGATGGATAGATGATAGAAGGAAGGAAGGAAGGAGGAAAGAAAAAGAAAGAAGAAAGAAAAAGAAAGAAAGAAAGAAGAAAGAAAGAAAGAAAGAAAGAAAGAAAGAAAGAGTAGTTGGAGGTGTACGGTGCTTGTATTTCCCCCTTTGCAATACTTGTAGTCATCCACCTGCCTCCCCCCCCTCCACTCCGTTTTGCTTCTTGCAGCCTTGCAAAGGCTAACACCCCACCCCCACCGCCCCATTTGCAGTCCTCCACAGCGGAAGAAAGAGGTCACTGCGTCTGCGAGTGCCCAGCTCTGGGGTTGCTACAGCAACTGGCAAGTCAGACAAGAGAACAGGCGGATTTGTCACGCCAGATCAGATCAGGGGCCTATCGGGAGACCTCCGAGAGGCTCCTTGCTGGTTTGAAGGGAGGCAACCGAATGCCTTTTCGAGCGAGGGGGATTGGCGGAATCCTAACAATTCTTACAGCCACTTGCAACCGATTAAGAGAGAGAGGTCAGCCAAGAAATGCCTACCAGATGCCTCTCCGAGAGAGGCCCCTTTGCCACCCTGAAATCAAAATCAGTGGAAATTTTTAAGAACACCCCTTGCCGTCACATGATTGCAACCGACGCCACATTTATGGCCAGTTGCGGCATCCCACAACCACCATTTGTGTGACAATTTTTTGACCCAAAACTGGCATTGACTTTTTCAGTTTCCCACTAGAAACAACCGTTAACGATCGCTGCGTCCATTTAACAATGGCAGCGTTAAAAAAAAAAAGGCCATGAAATTGGGTGCAGTCACATGGTGACTCGCTTAATGACGGCTATGACTTCTGGGCTCAATTAAAGTCATTAAGGGGGGGGCTGTATTTTGTGGTGTGGATTCCCAATCGTGTTCAGCCGTAATAAAACTGCATGTTAAGTTGATTCTTGATAGTGTCTCAATTCAGGATTGGGATCAGATGTGTTGTAGAGTCATTGACAAAGAGATTCTCTTTATCTGCCATGGAAACTTCAAGAACTGGATTTAGTATGGACCTTCTCTGGGGTCAAAATTATAGGAGGGGATTATTGGGCCGCAGATGTGCTTCAACTATAGTTCTGAACAAACCTAGTTAGTCCCTCTAATGGGGAAGGTTGCTGGGACCTGTAGTTTAGCACAGTGGTGAAATCCAAATTTATAGAATACCTGTTCTGTGGACGTAGTGTGCCTTGGTGGGTGTGGCTTGGTGGGCGTGGCAGGAGAAGGATACTGCAAAATCCCCATTCCCTCCCCACTCCTGGGGGAAGGATATTGCAAAATCTGCATTCCCACCCCACTCTGGGGCCAGCCAAAGGTGGTATTTGCCCATTCTCTGAACTACTCAAAATTTCTGCTACCGGTTCTCCAGAACCTGTTAGAACCTGCTGGATTTCATCCCTGGCTTAGCAGCTTCTGGAGAGCCAGCAATTCCCACTTCTAATCTAAAAATGATGATTTTTTTTTTTAAAAAAAAATGAAAATCCACCTCGCTTCTTCTCTGGCTGTCTTTCAATCAACCATCAAAACTTTTCTTCTTGGAAAATCTCTTGGCTTGCAGGAAATTTGTAGTGGATGAACCCCCAAATCATAAATGTCGTTGGGAGAGAATTTGGAGAGAGAGATATTACAATACATGTAGTGAGGATGTCCTTAGACATATAATGGGTGGATGTAGTGATTCATGGGTCAGTAAAGGAGAATATTTGCAGCTCAGGGTTGAAATGAAGGGTCCTTGGTGTTCTCTGAGCTTGGTGGTTTTCTTGCAGATGTTTCATTACCCAACTAGGTAACATCATCAGTGCTAGAAGGGAGTGTGTTTGTGGAGTGGAAGAGAAGGGAGGAGGAGGAGGAGGAGGACGACTAGTTTGGGTCATGAAACATCTGAAAGAAAATATGCAAGCTCAGAGAGCACCAAGGACCCCCCCCCCATGTATGGGTCTGGGGTCTGGCTTCTAAAGGATGCCACTTCTTGCACCCCAAAATGCTTTAGGTTTCCTAGGTTTTCCAAAACAGCATTCTTTTTTTTTTTTTAATTTGATTTATATGCCGCCCTTCTCCGGAGACTCAGGGCGGCTTACAGTGCATTAAGCAATAGCCTTCATACTTTTGTATATTTACACAAAGTCAGCTTATTGCCCCCACAAACTGGGTCCTCAATTTACCTACCTTAGAAAGGATGGAAGGCTGAGTCAACCTTGAGCCTAGCGAGATTCGATCTTACTTTAATTGCAGACAGCTGGTGTTAAATTACAGTGCTTCTGTCTGTTGAGCTAAACCAGGCTCATATATTCTTCACTAATACTGGATTGTAACTCACCCAGTTTCCAGGGGGTGTTATGAAAACTTATCTAATTTATCTCAAGTCTCCCTCTTATCTGAAAAAAAAAGGGGGGCAGGAGAAATACAGAGCTCATTTTACTCATATATTTTAACTCTGATACTTTTACAGTGGATTCAGACATTACACTAAAGATTTAGCTCTTGAACTCACGTTCAGCAATTCTTGTGAACCTAGCCATTGTGGCTTGGAAAACACAGTTTATGGTTTAGGGCAATGATTTTCAAAGTTGGCCGCTTTAGGAGGCGTGGACTTCAATTCCCAGAGTTCCCCAAGGCAGGAATTCTGGGAGATGAGGTCCATACCTCTTAAAGTGGCCAATTTTGAAACACACGGGTTTACAGAGTTGTGTGGACCTATGCCATTGGGGCAGATTCAGCCGGTTCGGACTGGTTCGGGCGAATTGGATGCTAATTTTACATCTGGTTCACCGAACCGGTAGTTGCAAGGGCTGGTTGGCCCCTCCCCACCCCTCCCAGGAGTCTCTATGCGGCTTGTTTTGGATGCCAGGTAAGTGCAGGGCCTGCGCAGAGGCTCTGGGAGGGTGAAAAACGGGCCTCTTGGAAGTTCCGGAAGCCTGGAAACAGGCCCATTTCCAGCCTCCGGAGGGCCTCCGGAGCCCGGGGGGGTGTTCACCCTCACGGAGGCTCAAGGAAAGCCTCTGGAGCCTGGGGAGGGTGAAAAATGGGCCTACCGGAAGTCCCGAAACAGGCTTGTTTCCGGCCTCCAGAGGGCCTGTGGAGCCTAGGGGAGGCCATGTTCGCCCTCCTGGAGGCTCAAGGAAAGCCTCTGGAGCCTGGGGAGGATGAAAACACCCCCCCCACACACACACCACAGTGGTGCAGGAGGCTGAGTAGGCCACGCCCACCATGGCCATGCCCACCCAGCAACCGGGCAGAGAACCAGTTGCTGAAATTTGTGAATCCCACCCCTGCATTGGGGATATATTTAGTAAACTCTGATCAAGCTCATCATAGCTTAGCCTTTAAGCCTGGAATCACTTGGACCCGATTTGCTACTCTGCTTTCTGGGCTGCTGCTTGGAATGATCTTATAAAAGAGAGAGGGGGGGTGGGAAATTGAATAATCGCTGGTCTTCTTTATGATCACTTTCCCTTCTGCCCCCTCAATCTTCCTTGCAGTTATCCGTGGCAACATCAAGTCCGTCTCCAACAACAGGGAAGCCCAAGAATCCATCATCGGCGTGAGCGCCACACGGATCCATCGACAGAAGTTTGCTCTGTTTCAACCGGTCGGCAAATCTGGAAAATCCACAGGCAACATCCATACCCTCCTACGATGTGGGGTGAAACCCGGCCCAGGCAGTTTTTTATTCACCGGGTGGATGCACTTTGCAGAGGCTTGGCTCACCTGCGCTCCTCGATACAAAGACTTCATCCGCATCTACGAGGAGGCGCGACAGGCTCACGAGAACCCCTGCGAAGTCTCGTTGGACTGACTTGAGGCGAGAAGAGCTCGGGAAGAGGGGAAGCCTCTGGGGCTGTGATCAAGCCAGAATCAGTCGTCCTCATCTTGGCCGTGGGAGGAGAACCCTTGTCCTTAGACCCAAAGCAGGACAAGCTCTTTCCTTCCTCTGGGAAACCAAATGGTTCTACCAACCCTACATAACTCTTTTCCTGGTTCTCTTGCGAATGAGTTGTCTTGGCCAAATCTGAGAGGAACCTCATGAGATGTTCTCTGGGTCAAGTTCAGGAACATCACGAAGCAGACAAAAGCTTTCAGAACTCTCCAAACATGGGGATGAGGTGAGACTTGGAGTTCTGGTGTTTTGAGTTTTCCACCACCCATGAAAGCCAATTGAATTATTCCCGAGTTTGCAGCAAGCCACACCTCTTCCACCTCACTGTGGATGTCTGCAGATACATCACCAAGCCAACAGGAAGGACCATGAGTTTCAGGTCTAAAAGGATGATCCATTCAACTGTTCATCCATGATCAGTCAAGAAAGCCCAGGAGATGATCCAGTTTTCTCTTTGGGGGTTGCGTGGCTGATCAGCATTAGGTTCTCTCATCCAAGGGGACCATCCTAAACTAAATGAAGAGCCAGATATCTTCAGGAGAGGGGAGGAAGACGGTACCATGCTTCCAACATGCCAGAAAGAGGGACAAAAAAATGTGACAGGAAAGGACACGTGTTCAATTCTATCCATTTTCATTTTTCAAAAAAATATATCCATCTCTTGGTAATTCAGGCAGGGAGGACAAAGCTTTAAACAACTTCAAATGAAATACTTTCTACCCACCCACCCCCCAAAAAATAACATGGATGTGAAAATGGGTTGATTGAAATCCAGATCTGGATATCTGAACGGTGTGGCGAGATAATCTGGATTCAGCCATCAACTTTTCTTCATAAAAATTGCTTGATTTTGACTTCCTGGCCACCGATTCTCAATAAAATCCAAACTGGATTCGCACATTCTACTGAACTTTGGTAGGGGCTCAAACTATCACACAAACCCAGCCAATCGTGACTTACTCTATATAGACACACCCTTGTTTTTTTTTAAAACAAACAAACTGTGGCTTGGGGCAGTGTGTGTGAATCCAGCCAGGTTGTAGTTTCTTTAGCAAGCTGGGATTAATCCAATCATAGCTTAATGCACTGTGAAAATCCCCAAGAGTCCATATTCCATGGCAATATCTTTTTAGGTGTTCAATTAAGCTCTTGTTCTTCCAAAATAATAATTGAACAGCTCCTGATATGTGGAGAAATATTATACAGGTATTGATAGCACTGGAATCCTATCAGAAAAAGTAGGTCAACTCTATTGCCAGGAAAATATCTTCTTTGCGTCATTACCGGAAGAACATTTCCTTGTGTTGGTTGATCTAGGAAAGAAGGAACCTCTGAATATAATGTACACCGAGATTATTTTGGGTTTATGTCTGTTTAATCCATAGTACTCAAAGAATCCTGGTGGTTCACATTTGTTGGGAATTCCAATGCGTTGTGAAGTTCTCTAGATGTTTTGGACTACAATTCCCATCAACACTTGTGATTGTTTTGGGAGCTGATAAAGCTAAAAGTCCAAAGCATTTTTAGAGGACATTCAATTTTCTGGCTCCTAATTTTGAAATCACAGCTAGCCATCATAGAACTGCCCAACAGTGAAATCCAATTTTTTTTACTACTGGTTCTGTGGGCGCAGGCTTGGTGAGTGTGGTGTGGCTTGGTGGGTGTGGTGTGGTATGGCTTGGTGGGCGTGGCAGGGGAAGAATACTGCAAAATCTCCATTCCCACCCCACTCCAGGGGAAGAATATTGCAAACTCCCCATTCCCACCCCGTTCCAGGGGAAGGATATTGCAAACTCCCCATTCCCACCCCACTCCAGGGGAAGGATATTGCAAAATGCCATTCCCACCACACTCCAGGGGAAGGATACTGCACAATCCCCATTCCCTCCCCACTCCAGGGAAAGGATATTGCAAAATTCCCATTCCCACCCCACTTCAGGGGAAGGATACTGCACAATCCCCATTCCCTCCCCACTCCAGGGGAAGGATATTGCAAAATCTCCATTCCCACCTCACTCTGGGGCCAGCTAGAGGTGGTATTTGCAGGTTCTCTGAACTACTCAAAATTTCCGCTACCGGTTCTCCAAACTGCTCAAAATTTCCGCTACCGGTTCTCCAGAACCTGTCAGAACCTGCTGGATTTCACCCCTGGAACTGCTGTTCCCAAGATTCTTTAAAGTTGAGAAAGGCCAATCCTAGAGATCGAAAAGAATTGGACATAACTTCATGTTAGACGAACTCCTGAAGGTGATGCAGGCTGCAGAAATCAACCTTCAATACTGACCCTGTTTTGAGGGGAAAAAATCTAGTCTGTGATTTCAAAATTGTGCTTAAAATCATGTGATAATTATTTGGTGTAGCTGGGGAGGTGGACCAAATCGGTAGGTTTGTAGGACTGTCTATGGATGATTCTCAATCATCCAGGTCTCTTGAAAAAGGTGCTTTTTCAAGAAACGACTGGACTTTCTTGCTTTTCTTGGAAGACGTTTCGCTTCTCATCCAAGAAGCTTCTTCAGCTCTGAACTGGATGGCCTTCCATTCCCCATCATCCAATCGGAGCTGAAGAAGCTTCTTGGATGAGGAGCAAAACGTTTTCCAAGACAAAACAAGAAAATCCAGTTGCCTCTTGGAAAACGCACCTTTTCGGTTTGTAGGACTGCATACCATTTTCTCTTTAGGGTTCCTGTTCCTTAGGCAGCTAAGACTTCCTGAAATCTCTTTTATTGCACTGTAGTGGCTTTCTGGAGTTTTGGAACCCACCTATGAATGGACGAACTGCGCTCCTGCCTATGGGGAAAAGAGAGAGAGAGAGAGAGAGAGAGAGAGAGAGAGAGAGCGAGCGAGCTAAGGAAGGATGCATATCAACCCAAATTCCACGTAACAATTCCATCATCACCTTGGTGCTAATTGCTTGAATTTTCAACACCACTGTGCAGAATGGGCTAGCAACTTTGTCAGTTGTCACCAATTTAAAAACAACAACAGTGCTGTGTATTCAGGGTGCCTTACAGCCTAATCGATTTATGGCAGCGTAAAGCATTTATAGACTAGATTTCCCTTTGTCAAAGGTTCCCAGACTGTTATCTTGAGTTACCTGTGCTGGGTTTGGAGGCCAAATGAGAGAGAGAATTGGGTGCACTCACTCGGTGGCTAAGACCCTGAGCTTGTCGATCAGAAAGGTCGGCAGTTCGGCTGTTCGAATCCCCAGTACAGGTCTCCTGCGTGAGAGGGGGGGGTGGACTAGATGACCGCCAAGGTACCTTCCAACTCTGTTACTGTTAAGTAAAACTAAGGATAATTGGCGGATGCACACCCATGAACAAAAACAATTCTTGGGCCCAGCACAAAAATTTGGAAAGGGAGCATATACAGTCTGATTGGATTTATTTTATTTTATTTTATTTTATTTTATTTTATTTTATTTTATTTTATTTTATTTTATTTTATTATTTTATTTTATTTTATTTTATTTTATTTTATTTTACTTTACTTTATTTTACTTTATTTTATTTTATTTTATTATTCTATTTTATTTTATTTTATTTTTTTAATTTTATTTTTTATTTTATTTTATTTTATTTTATTATTTTTTATTTTATTTTATTTTATTATTTTATTTTATAGAAATTGTTCTTCTTCAAACCACAAAAATGAAGAGTTGGACTTTTTCATGAATTTGAAACTCTGGGGTTTCATAAAGTTTCTCTTAAGCTGGCCGGAGTCACCGTGAGTGAGCTGGGCGGCCATATACATTTTCTTAATTCATGAAGAAATAACAAGTACAGGTCGTCCTCGACATACGACCACAATTGAGCCCAAAATTTGTGTTGCTAAGTGAAACACATTGGTTAAGTGAGTTTTGCCCCATTTTATGACCTGGTTAACATGGTTGTTAAGTGAATCTGGCTTCCCCGTGGACTTTGCTTGTTGGAAGGTCACAAGAGGAGATTATGTGATCCCGGGACGCTGCAACCGTCATAAATATGCCAAGCGTTTGAATGCTGCAACGGTCGTAAGTGTGAAAAACGGTCTGTTTTTCCAGTGCCGTTGTAACTTCAAACCGTCACTAAACAAACATGCTGTAAGTTGAGACAAGCTGTTTGTAAGTCGTTAAAACTGGACATTGCAAATCTAAGTGTGCACAAAAACCCCAAAACTTTTTGGTGACGGTTTTAGCCTCTCTCAACGTACCTCTGTCCCGAATAGAGTAGGCTGCTTCACACAATACAGTATCCCAAGGTATAAACTGGAATGAAAAACTACACGCGCAAAGGATCAGGGACGCACAAACTTTGGGGGACCAGTTCCGTGGAGAAAGGTTTTCCCGTGGACCAGAGGACGTGGTTTTGTGTGCTGCCTGTATCCTGTGGATGGGGCTTTGCTTGTTTGCGTGGCTGGGTTCTGGCATGCCGTGGCCCAGTGCCGATCCATGGACCGGGGGTTGGGCATCTCTTTTCTAGATCGAATCTTACACCCAGGATAACACTCTGTAGCTGCAATCCATGCAGGCTTTTGCTGTTACAAATAGGTTAATCCAGTAGTACTCAAGCTTTTCTTCACCAGGGGCCCCCTTTAAATACCTTTTGTGGCTACAGACCATGGCCACCGACCCCCCCCAAGACTTCAGATTTAAATCATAACACTTTTTCAAGCTTTCGTGGACCCCAGTGAGCCCTCCAGGTGTCCGTGGGCCACAGGTTGAGAGAGCCACCAGGTTAAACTTGTAGTAGAGGCCATAACACCCTTCGTTGTGACACAGTTTCCCCTCGTGGTAAGGTTGGGGATAGTAAATGCTGCTAAGTCTCAGAGGAACAGGCCCTTCTCTTTTTACCACTTGGAAATGATTAATGGTGTTACTGATGTGTCCCATGGAAGTATTTTTTTGCATGCGTTCAGCCGTGATGCATAAGGGAAATTGGTCCGTTGGAATAACCTGTCCATGAAAACTGGTGTGATCGTTGTCACCGTTGCTATTCTACATAGATACAGTTGGGCAGCGATCAGTGCTTCCCAACTTTGGCAAGGTTTGAGATGTGTGGACTTCCAAGGCCCAAAATTTCCCAGACAGGCTTAAAATTGCTGAGGTTGGGAAACACTGTTCTAAATCATCTTATTTTATTCTGATGTGTTCTATGTAGCCTGCCTTCCTCCCTCCCTCCCTCCCTCCCTCCTCCTTTCCTTCCTTCCTTCCTTCCTCCCTCCCTCCTTCCTTTCTTTTTCCCTCCGTCCCTCCCTCCCTTCTTTCCTTCCTTCTTCCCTCCCTCCCTCCCTGGCTTTCCTTCCTAGCCTTCCTTTTTTCATTCCTTCCTTCCTTCTTCCCTCCCTCCTTCTTTCCTTCCTTCTTCCCTTCTTCGCTCCCTCCCTTCCTTCCTTCTTTCCTCCCTTCCTTCTTCCCTCCCTCCCTCCCTCCTTCCTTCCTTCCTTCCTTCCTTCCTTCTTCTCTCCTTCCCTCTCTGGGTTTCCTTCCTGGCCTTCCTTTTTTCATTCCTTCCTTCCTTGGTAGAAAATATATACAAATAGGAATAAATGCTTTGATAAAATGGGAGTCTTAAGAAAAAGAAGGAAGGAAGGAAGGAAGGAAGGAAGGAAGGAAGGAAGGAAGGAAGGAAGGAAAAAGAAAGAAGGAAAAAAGGAAAGAAGAAAGAAAGATGGGAGGGAGGGAGAGAGGAAGAAGTAAGGAGGAAGGAGAAGGAAGAAGGAAGAAGGAAGGAAGGAAATAAGGAAGGAAGGAAGGAAGGAAGGAAGGAAGGAAGGAAGGAAGGAAGGAAAGCCAGAACAAGCCTTTCCTTTCCACTAGTCCTCCTGCCCCTCCCCCCCCCCCCCGGCCCGGTGAAGTGTTTGGTTTCCTCAAACCTTTTAAAATAACGCACAAGTTTACTCAATTGGGCAGCTAGCAAATCCAAAACTGCCACCAACCGCCTGTAGAAGATGTCCATTTTCTTTATCTCATTTACTCCTTTAATTTATTTTTTGTAAGATTTTTTTTTTTTTTTGGGTCTATGTAGAACATGAGCCCACTTAGGAAACTGAGATGCTGGAAGCCTGCTTCCTCCCTGCTTTTCTCTCTCCGGATGCTCCCTTAGAAAAGAGCTACCACAAAAATGGAATCTTCGCAATTCAATGTGTTGTTAGGAAAAAGTGCTCCCGCACCATGAAAATGTGCAAAGAATGTGGGGATAACATTTGGGGGTGGCTGATGAAGAGGCCTGTCTGTTTCCACATAAGGGTAGGTTGTGGCTGGATGTCCCTCAAAGGGTGGTCATGCAGGAATGACCCAAACACTCAAAATCTCAAATGCAGCCAACGTACTAAATCATTGGGACCAGTGATGGGTTTCAAAAATTTTTACTACTGGT